TTTTTTTTTTTTTTTTTTTTTTTTTTTTTTTGCTACAGAGAATAGGACTAGGTTCTTGGATGAATTATGATTTAAGTTTTGGACTTTTAGTTGAAGATTTAAAAAAGAAAATTCAAGTGGGGATATTGACTAAGTAATAAGAAGAATGGTCTAAATTGGAGTCATTGATAAATGAGGTAATTTAAACCACAGGAGGTGTCAAATAACTACAATGAGAGAAAAAATGAGAAGAAAATAAGCTCTGACAAGGATAAGGGTGGAAAGTGAGCAATAGGCAAAAAGTCTTTGAGGAAGAACAAATAAGGAAAAACCAGCACAGTGTCAAGAAAGCCAAAGGTAGAAATCAAGAAATGTTAAAGCAAGAAGAATGGTGAATGACATCAAAAGCTTGAAGAGGTAAATTCAAAAAGGAGACTGAAAAATGTCAGTTGAATTTGCTAACTTGAAGCTTATTGATGAACTTAATAGGAGTCATTTTTGAGAAGTGGATAAGAGAGTAATTATTTAAAAAGTTTGTGGGGAGGAGAGGAAAGAGTCTAGCCAATCAAACCGGTTATGGAGAGTAGAAAAGAGTGAAAGTGTTCTGGGATGGGATAGTTGCTAAACAAGAAGAGACTGTGCATCTAATAAGAAAAAAATGTTACCATGCCAGCATGCTTATAGATGATTGGTACTGAGGATACTGGTAAATACATCAGTATTTCCCCTCTATATTCAAGTGACAAGTGGATATTCAGTGGGAAAAGAAGTCAAAAAGGGTAATACTGTCTTTAATAGATTCATGAAATTCTTGTCATAATTGATGTGGCTTATTTTTCTATCATAGGAGTTTCATAAACATATCTAAATTAGTACTTCCCCTCAGACTTGTAATATTGTGAGTCCTGATTGAATTTTACTGTACTCAAGGAATTATTTCACTTGGTAAGAAAAAACTTCAAAACATTTGTTTATATTATTCATCATATTTCTTTTTGCAAGCTCATTATTTCTACTTTAGATATTTTTTGTTTCCTTTTATATTTTTCTAGGAAAATTTTCTCTCTTCTTTTATAATATCATCAAGGAGATATTTGGGGCAGAGTCATCAAAACCCTCTCCAGTTACATAAAATAAAAACATGGCATATTTTTGGCAAACAGATCCAAATCCAATGAATCACATGAAAAACAATATGAGCACCAAGAATTTCACTCCATAAATCAACCCCTTTCTTCTAGTCAAGTCAGTCTCGGTTTGACCAGGTGGTAGTTGAGATCATAACAAAAACTCCACTCTCTGAGAGTGAAATTGAAGTAAACACCTTTTTGGACCCACTGCCCCAAACATGGATTCACAAAGTCATTCATAGATGAAACACACCAAATATCTTCAATAGATTCACTTCGAAAAGCCCTGAAGTCTCATGGCATCAAGTGAGGAAAACACCAGTAATTGGTTTTAGTCCTTCTGTGTTACCAGAAACCTCAAGAATGCTCCTGGAGAAATCCCATGGGACAAGTATCATGGTACTGATGATTCTAGATCAATATTTTAGCTCCATCATCTACTAGTTTGGATAAAATTAATCCACAGAGAGAATTAGAAAATGAAAATTATAACTACCATATAGATTTGAAAGTAGCATTCCTCCTGTACACTCATCCTCCTCAACTGATTTCATGTCAAAAGAAGAGCATAAAAGGAGTGGATATATGAATATTTGGGAGCCTTCTCTGATGCTCTCTAAAGGTTGGTTTCTACCCAGGATTGGGAAAGTGCATGGCCAAAGAACATAGAGGTATGTATATGTCAATCTAAAACTATAAATCTGGAAAAAATCATTCAACAATGTATTTATTAATGTGGTAATGAAGGTAACTACCTTATACAGGGGATATCTATTAATATTACTTTTGAAAAAAATTACTTATTTTCACAAATTTCATGTTCTTAAACTAATGATCTTTCTGGAAAAAAAGGAAATAAGTTTTTAAAAGTATCATTTTTAAAGTTCTAGTCTTATCAAAAGTAAATAAAATGTTATAGTGCTTATATTTTATTGAATAAAAATATCATAGTTGAAGGTTTAATTGATAATATTTTCTATTTTTATGTGTTATGTGCGTGTACAAACACATATACATCTCATTACATGTATATTTGAGTGACACAATAATTTGAAACTTTATATGATTATTGGTAGTAAAAATGCCCCTTTACCAGAGACTTCTAATTTATGCTATTGGCAGGCAACTTCTATTTGAGATCATTCCAAAAGTAGGCGATTGATATTATTATAGAACTCATTCTAATGGTTTCATCAGTAGCTTTTCAATAATTTTAGTAACCAACAGTTTCCTCTAAATTCGAAGATTTCTCTGCTAGAATCAAGACACAAGTAAACCCAGAGTAAACAGTTAAAATGAAGAAACATTATTTGCAGCTGTAATTTACAGGGTGAGGCAAAAGGATTATTCATTTACTCAGCAACTATTATCAAATCCTTAAAATATATGTGATGATGCCTAGCAGAATTAATGCAAAAAGGAAAAAATGTACCTGAATTCAGGAAAGCATAATGCTCAAATTAACTTGCAAGCAAATAATGACAACACAGTAAAATAGGAGATGGGGTGAGTGCATAGAAAAGAAATAGCTAATTCTACTAATTCTAGTTCACTTGCAGAAGAGGTAGCACTTCAACCGATTAGAATTAAAAGTCAATAAATTTTAGGAAAATCTAGCTCTGATCACAACAATGTAATAAGTATTAAATGTCCCTACAGCTAAAACCAACTATAAAGTCAGACAAAAATGAAGCAGCTGGTTTCAGTGTTGAACAATAGGCAGTATAGAACATAGATCCTTGAGAAAAGTGAGCACTGAATCATCCTGGTTCTGCCTGAGGGCAGTTTTCTGCTGCTATTCAGGCGGTGGAACTCATCTGAGCAACAGAATTTCTGAGCTGAGGAGGTAGAACTTGCAGTTTCAGGCTGCAGAAGCAACTGTGGTTTGCAAAGCAGACAGCTCTAGAGAAAAAGTAGCTATGCAATGTAAGGGTCAGAAGTATACAGAAATTTTCTGCATATCCTTAGCTGAGTATTGTGATGTGGTTGCAAGGCTTAGTAGATATTGCCAGCTTTGGCTGAAAATTGGATGGTCATGTTTTCATCACGCAAAGTAGAAGTTATACAGTGCAGAAATTTGGGCCAGCTAGAGAAGAGACAAGTTAAGAACATCATGTATGCAAATGAGATTCCACAAAGTCATGTCTTAAGAGCAAAATCATGCTCTAAAGTAAATGCTACACCAACCAAAATAAATGTCCCTAACAGAAAATAAAAACAAGGCTGACAAGACTAAATGCCTGCCAGAGAAAACTGTATACTTTATAAAAAATATTAAATCACATTTTATAATGTGCCATCTACAATAATCCAACATACAATAACAAATGCACAGACACTAAATTGTGGGGAATTTTGGCCCATAATCAAGGAATAACCTTATCAGTAGTAAGAACCACCTGGAGATAATCCAGGTGTTGGAATCTAGGTGTTGAATTAGCAGTTAGGAACTTTAAAGTGGTTATTAAAGGTATGCGCAAGTAGATAAAGTAAAAGATGCTCATAATGGTTAGTCCAATGATGATCTTGGCAGTGTTATGGTACGGAGTGCAAGCAATGACCACCTCAGACCGAATTGAAACAAATTGCGAGTCTTTATTAGCTGGCCAGCAACAACCTCTGTCCCCCAGGATGGCAGGTACAGAGAGAGCCCCAGTCAAAGGAGCAGGAAGGTTTATATATCCTTCTAAGTTAGGGGCTACGTGACTTTTAGGCACAGCAGTTGAAACATTATCTTGTAAGTTTACATCATGTTTTCCATGCCGTGGGTCCAGAACTATCCTCGAACCCCCTGGCCGGATAACAACACTAATAATACTAACAATTTTTGTGCAAGGTGGGTTATAGAAGCAACAACATCAGCCAAGGTTACAGCACATTCTTTTCTAAATTGAGCAAACATAGTAAATTTTAAGTATATGCAGCTGCAAGTTAACAAATGGCTGTGAATTATTGTTCTGTTTTTTTCCTTCTGCAAGCCATAGGAATTTCTACTGAGGGTCTGGGATAACAGGAAACACTAGGTCAGCTTCTACTTCTACAGGCAGGAAATTAGAAACTATAGAAAAAAAAATCCCAATTCTAGTATTGAAAATGTAATACCTGTAATGAAAAAGTCACTGTGTGATTTTAACAACAGATAGGAAATGATAAGGGTGAACATAGTAAACTTGAAAGCAAAACAATAGAAATTATCCAAACAGAAGAAGAAAAAATACAGGGATTATATAAAATGAGCAGGGATTCAGAGACCTTTGCAACAAGCAGCATAATATATGGATAATTGGAATGCTAGCAGGAAAGAAGGAAGATAGGGAAGAAAATTAATTTGAAGAATAATGATCAGAAATTGCCGGTTTGGTAGGGAAATATCAAATTCCAGATCTAAGAAGCCAACAAATTCCAAACAGAATAAATACAAAGTCAACCCATTTTACTCAAATATCTGAAAACAAAATAAAGAGAAATTGTAAGAGGAAGCTGAGCGGGAAAACCAGATTTCACACTGTAGGACAGCGAACTTTGCATTGCAAACAATGGAAAACAGAGACATGGAATGAGATTTTAAAATTCTTTAAAAGAAAAAAAAAACACCCATATTTCTATATCCATTGAATATATGCTTCAAAACTAAAAACAAAAACACATTACCATATAACACATATTGGGAAATTAGTCAACTAACATGCTACAAGAAATAACAAAGTAAATGCTTCCTGTATGAAGATAATGACATCAGATAGAATCTAGAAAGGACTGAAGAGCAATAGAAATGTTAAGTATGTTGGAAATACAAAAGATGACTTTTAATTTTTTGAAAGACAGCTGACTAAAGCCAAATAAGATCATGTTATTATGGAATTCTTGTGTACATGGAAGAAAAATATATGTTAACTATAGCATAATGGGTGAAAGGCGTAAAGTATTATTTGCTATTGTAAA